AAAAGCAGTAGCTAATTAAAAAATGCAAATATTTGAATTGCAAGACAAATAATTATTTAAGTTTAATACACTGTGATTTGTTATTCTGAATTTACCATAATGCACCTATTAGATTTAGTATATCGAAATTGAAAAGCGCTCTTATATACCAATTACGCTTTCACAAATTGTCTTTAACCTGTGATGTTTTAGCATTTATGATTAAAATATTATTTAACTCTGTTTGTAGACAACATGTTTTGTTAAAACCAATAGTTTTACAATGATAAATCAAATAGTAAAGTAATTTTTGATCTGGTTGAGTTTGACAATTGCAATAAAACGAGCCGACCCGGGGCATATCATACGCCGCTATTTAGTTGTTTTATTTTTTACTTTTCAGTAATTCATAATTTGTGAATTCGACAGTACCAATGCTGCCACTGAAAATATTTGCTATAAAACTTTACCCCCCCCCCTTTCCCCCAACCCCAACCCCTACCCTATAACCCCCCCCCCCCCCCCCCCCGTGAAAACAGCCTCCTCTTAGTTACCTCCTCTAAGCTCCAAGTTTAAAATCATTTCAAACTAAATTATCTGCCCCTAATAGCCGTCAATAAACCCGGATTGTAAACATTTAGAGTGAACCATCGCTCACCAGACCATGTGTGGGGGGGGGGGGGGGGGGGGGTGGTAGTGATAGAGAGGAAGAAAGGGGACTGCAAGGCACGTTTTGCAGCTTGTTTTCTAACGTCTCCCAGAAGAGAATTATATATATAGATGTGTAGACCAACACATTTCTATATTAAGAGAGTGATTATTTCCCACGAGCCGGCCCGCGGCATAACATACGCCGCTATTTAGTTGTTTCTAATTTTCAATAATTCATAATTTGTGAATTCGACAGTACCAACGCTGACACTGAAAATATTTCTTTAAAACACTATAAGTAGCTCGTTAAGGACCATAACCCCCCCCCCCCCCCTTCCTTCCCCCCCCCCCCTCCCCCCCCCTACGTTTAAAATCGTTGGCTCTGCTTGTAAACATTTAGAGTGAACACAGCTCACTAAAACCATGTAGGGGTGGGGAGGTAAGGAGAGCGTTTGCAGCTTGTTTTCTAACGGCTCGAAGAGGAGAATTATATATATAGATAATGCAATTCGCTTGTCTTAATTAATACTCCGTTATGTCAAAATGTTTTTTTTTACAAAGTCTGCAAAATAGATTGTTTTGGGTTTCTTGTTTTTTGTTGTGAGGTGTGTATATTATGTGTTGTACTTTGTTTTGTGTAATAAATTGCGTTGTCGGTCAAAGTGGTGTTTTGTTCTTTTGTACTCTATAGAGTCATGTTTAAAAGTATTTTTCACATTAGCGATTCAATGTCAAACAGCTAGTATATTGTATATTAATATATATATATATATATATATATATATATATATATATATATATATATATATATATATATATATATATATATATATATAAATGGCGCCTTTTTCTCGACTCACCGTCCCCCTAACCCAAAAACCTGTATATGCCTCTGGTCCATATACACAGCAAACGCAGTATGTCCACACAAAAAGAAAATCGTAAAGAAAATAAGTTTTTTATCCTATTCCCACATTAAAATAATGCATAGTATTATGTTAGAACCTTAAAAAACTAATTTTTGCATTCTATTTTTTCGCTAACATGTAAAACTAAAACTGCCAATACAAGCATAAATGCATATTGATACCACAATAAAAGTAACATAGAACGCTTGTTCTCAATACAGTCGATAGCTGCCCATCGTGGAGCGCCATTCCACTGCTGTTGATATTGCACGCTGGGTGTCCGGTGTACAAAGGTACAAAGAGTAGAAACACAATGTGTTTAATTAAACACACACTAGAACAACAACGAATGTATTATAAAGGAGATTGGCTTCATGCCGTATTGGGTTGCCGAGTTTCGCTATTGATCGGCGCCACCCTACACTTCGTAACAAAACATTTTATAAATTAAATTTCTGTGTCTAATATCTAAACCAGAGGCGTAGCGACCCTTCCCGGCGCCCGGGGACACATTTTCGATTGGCGCCCTCCCTCAGGAGCAACTTTTCAACTTGCACACCCCCCCCCCCCCCTCAAACTTTCGATTTGCGCATCCCCCCTCAAACTTTCAATTTGCACCCATTTTGGCGCCCCCTAAGGTCGGCGCCCGGGGACATATGTACCCCCCCCCCCCGCCCCTCCCATCGCTACGCCTCTGATCTAAACGTTATCTCTCTAAACTATCACCGGGATGTATGTATGTACTTATAAAAAAAAAAATTGCAATACTAATGCAAAAGAATAATAATATAGATCTATACTTCGTCTTGTACTTCCATGAGAAATACAAACAACACTAGCCGCACGGTGCGTGCATGGGCCTAACTATCTGCACGGTGTCTCGGCTCAACTATCTGCACGGTGCCTGGGCCCAACTATCTGCATGGTGTCTGGGCCAAACAATCTGCATGGTGCCTGGGCCCAACTATCTGCATGGTGCCTGGGCCCAACTATCTGCATGGTGCCTGGGCCTAACTATCTGCATGGTGCCCCGGCCCAACTATCTGCATGGTGCCCCGGCCCAACTATCTGCATGGTGCCTGGGCCAAACTATCTGCATGGTGTCTGGGCCCAACTATCTGCACGGTGCCCCGGCCCAACTATCTGCACGGTGCCCCGGCACAACTATCTGCACCGTGCCTGGGCCCAACTATCTGCATGGTGCCTGGGCCCAACTATCTGCATGGTGCCTGGGCCCAACTATCTGCATGGTGCCTGGGCCCAACTATCTGCATGGTGCCTGGGCCCAACTATCTGCACGGTGCCTGGGCCCAACTATCTGCATGGTGCCTGGGCCCAACTATCTGCATGGTGCCTGGGCCCAACTATCTGCATGGTGCCCCGGCCCAACTATCTGCATGGTTCCCCGGCCCAACTATCTGCATGGTGCCTGGGCCCAACTATCTGCATGGTGCCTGGGCCCAACTATCTGCATGGTGCCCCGGCCCAACTATCTGCATGGTTCCCCGGCCCAACTATCTGCATGGTGCCTGGGCCCAACTATCTGCATGGTGCCTGGGCCCAACTATCTGCATGGTGCCCCGGCCCAACTATCTGCATGGTTCCCCGGCCCAACTATCTGCATGGTGCCTGGGCCCAACTATCTGCATGGTGCCTGGGCCCAACTATCTGCATGGTGCCCCGGCCCAACTATCTGCATGGTTCCCCGGCCCAACTATCTGCATGGTTCCCCGGCCCAACTATCTGCATGGTGCCTGGGCCCAACTATCTGCATGGTGCCTGGGCCCAACTATCTGCATGGTGCCTGGGCCCAACTATCTGCATGGTGCCTGGGCCCAACTATCTGCATGGTGCCCCGGCCCAACTATCTACATGGGCCCAACTATCTGCGCGGTGCCCCGGCCCAACTATCTACACGGTGCCTGGGCACAACTATCTGCATGGTGCCTGGGCACAACTATCTACACGGTGCCTCGGCCCAACTTTTTGCATGGTGCCTGGGCACAACTATCCGCTAGTTTCAACCTTTCGAGCGGAATGGGGGCTATATGATTAGTACATCCAGCATGATTTACAGCAGAAATTAAATTAGATATTTTAATGTAAACACTAGGTCTGTGCATAGGGTAATAATCTTCATACGACATGGTGACGTATTAAGTTTTTGAAACATGTTTGCATCCACTCATCGTCTGTTTTTACACTACAATCCACCATTCGCTTTATTAGTTGTACTGTAAATAATTTTACATCTTACGGTTAAACTTACCATAGCCAACCTACAACTTTCAATATTTGTTTATTGATTGTAGGCTTTTATATGTGTTTATGTATAATAAACTCATAGCTGTAGATTCAGAGACTTGCTTGTTGTTTGATTACATTATTATTCCTGCATAGTCCGCTATACATTCAACCTCGCCTAACAGCTTTACAAACCTGACGGTTAATGGAGGAGATGAAGTCTTACTAATAGGGGTGGGCAGTTCCCAACTCTCCCCCCCCCCCCTCCGCTCAGATGCCTGAAAGAAACTCTGGTTCAACTTTAAGATGATACCGGGGATTAGGCCACAATTTCCCAAATCAACCAAGAGTGCATTATTAACCAAATTTTTAGAAATGACGTTCAACTAAAAGAAAACTATCAGGGGCGGAACAACAGTGCCGCCAGACCCCGCAATGTGGGGGGGGGGGGGCAGGCCCGTTTAGGGGCGCACAGGCGACCATAATCAATTTTTTATAGTTAAAAAATAATTTTCTCGCATTTTTTACTTGAAAGTTGTTTTGTAAAAAGAAGACTGTAGCCGCGGTTGGACTATCTTTATTCTATAGACACCATCCCGAGTCCTCTCTCTTCTACAATGAAACACACGCTGTTGTCGGAAAAATTCTTTTGATAATAAATCAAAGGCCATCGCGCGAGAGGCCGCTATATAGGGGGATAGGTGTACTACTTGAATCATCAGTCTCGCTGCATTTGGGGTCTCCGCCGGTGACCGTGTCTCAAGAGCCCAGTGACGCCTCTGACACCAAGGCCGTCGCCGAGGGGTGTTTCTTTCCCCATCAGCGTAAACCGGGCGTGTTTGTGGAAGTGTGTACAAACTAGCGCCTTAACTACTAAGCCTTTTATAGTTCCGCCACTGGCACCTTGATAGTGGTTTTGTAAAAAAAAAAAAAAAAAAAAAAAAAAAACAGATCTACTACAGTTGTGATGTTGTACAGTAGCTAACACACCCTGTTGCGTAAAAGAAAAAAAATATATTCATGAGTTGTAGTGTGAAAGATAGGCAAACGTTCAAACCACTTCAATTACTTATTTCCCTTTTTTTAGTCAAATACGTGTGCTCTTTAGCACCTTTTAATAGACTTGCACTAAACAAATTAAAAAGCAATTACTTCTCTTAATTATTTTATTTTAAATACATACTAAAGAATGACATAGTATAAAAAGTAAATGCTTTTAAAACTAAAAATATAAATACAAAAATACATAAAAATAAACATAACGCGAGAAACTATTACACATACAAACCTTTCATGCTTCATATTCCTTAGACCGACTTACTAATAGCGAGTATTATGGCAGACATATACTAAAACAGACATATGTTTCAAAACAGACTTATAGCACTCACACAAATAACGTGTTTTAACTTGTTTTACTTAAAAAAAAAACTAAAAATATGTTTTTTTTTAATTTCAAAACTCGAACTATTTGATTTTTAAAAATCTTCGATAACTAAACAAAAAAAATTTCAAAGAGCCAAAAACAACTTGGTTACCATTTTTTATCACTGAAAATATAAGTACACATGGCATAACTAGTACGAGTTTATATTATTATTATTTTTTAAAGTTTCCAAAAATACATAATAAAGTCTAAAGAACGTATCAATGACATGGCCATACATTCAAGAAACAAACAACCCATTTTTTCATATAATAAGCATTCCCATAGAACACATATGGAGGTAGACGAAGAAAAGAAAATAAAAACATAATCTGCAGGAAGACATGGAAAAACAAATTTTATATAAACTGCAAAGCTCACATTGCCTAGAAAGTTCTGTCACGACATGCTTACAACAAGTATATCCAAAAATTAAAATACTCTATTGAGTATTAAATCTCAATATTCAAAAAAACTAATCATAGTATTAATGTACAAATAGAAATGACATTTTATAAGACTTAAACATGTCTATGATTTCTTAAGGCAATAAAGGGGGCAATTAACTAAGTTCAAAACTACTTTCTTTAAAAAGAACAATTTTACAGATATAATACTTTGTGTGCACATAGGCATAAATATCCCTTATAAAAATGTAAAATATATTTTTAAAATAGGAGCTGGAGCACAACGTCTTTGTGAAATATTTTTTTGTAACTTGGCAACAGGGCTTTTAAATAAGTCACAATTTCTCGTACTATGCAGCTAGTAGATTTCGAGACCATAGACTTACAAGCCCTATCTTTGCTTGGGTAGGTTTACCCCTACATTTCCACCAAGTGTTACTTTTCCCTTTTGCTTGGCCCACATCTTTACAGCAGCCTGCTTCTCCATGCTGCTACTTGACTACAGATGGTTTATATCACACTATGTTTTGTGTGCATGAAACCAGATCATGAATTTCTCTTCACTCTAAATACTTTTTAAACATATATACATCAGAACATTAGTTAACATTGATTGAAATGACGGAGTGGGTAAATTAATGATGTGATAAAGAGAAAGGTTGAGTTAACAAGCTAAAGTTTTTTCAACATGAGAAATACAGTTTTTCCAAACACAACACTTTCATGTTTTATAATGGCCCGGTGTGAATTACGACATGACGTGACAAGTTCTTTTAAGCAGCAAATTTTTTGTGATCTACATCACACTGAAATGGTTTCTCATCTGAATGGGTTTTAAGATGTTCAGTTAAATACCACTGAAATTGAAACTTTTCCTGACACACATCACACTCTGGGTGGGTTTGGCTATGTTTGATTAAACGATTTCTAGTTGAAAATATTTCATTACAAACATCACACTCATAACGTTTAACTTCTAGGTGGGTTTGACGATGATTGCTTAAAAGCTTTCTAGTTGAAAATATTTCATTACAAACTTGACACTCGTGTTTTTTCACTTGTGAATGAGTTTTATAATGATCAGTTAATTGAAGGAGAAAACGAAATTTTCTGTGACACACATTACATTCATGTGGCTTCTTTACTGTGTGAGTTCTACTGTGGAATGTTAACTGTATCAAAGTATAAAACGTTTTGTGACAAAATTCACATTTATGGGGTTTATCACAATACATTTCCTTATGCTTCACTAACCTACTTTTAAGAGCAACTTTTTTCGGACACACATCACAATTATTTGGTGTCTTTTCAGAATAATGTTCTGAATGAATTTTGGTTCTATGTATGTTTAAACTGCGCTTACTAGAAAGAATTTTATAACACAAATCACATTGATATCCATGTCCTGTATGAGTATCTGTATGTTCTATTAAATTTCTTTTACTTACAAACATTTTATGACACACACTACACTCATGTAGTTTCTTTTTTGTATGAGTTTTTTTATGTACTATTAATCCACTCTTTTGACGAAACACCCTATGACACACATCACACGCTAGTGGTTCCTCTCCTGAGTGAATCCTTTTATGATTTACTAATTGGCGATATTCAATAAATTTTTTGTGACACACATCACATTCACATGGTTTCTTTCCCGTGTGAATCCTTTTATGAGTTACTAATTGGCTTTTTTCAATAAATTTTTTGTGACACACATCACATTCATGTGGTTTCACTCCTGCATGAAGTTTTTTATGATATGCTACCTGACTTGTATTACCAAGCCTTTTGTGACATGTATCACACTGATACGGCTTCTCTCCTGAATGAATGTTTCTATGACTGGCTAAATAACACCGAGTGCGAAATTTTTTGTGACAAACATCACACTCATGTGGTTTCAGTCCTGAGTGAGGTTTTACTCTTGAATGGATTTTCTTATGTTTGTACAAAGAATCCCAGGAAGAAAATAATTGATGACATTTCAAACATTCATGTTTTACTGACGGTGGATGGTGAGTTTTTAAAACACTCTTGAGCTCGTTTAAATCACTGAATATCTCTGTTTTAATTTGATGAAAACTTTTAACTGACGAAGATATCATTGATGACGGTCTGATAAAAGTGCTGGGAATGTTCTGTGGTCTGTCATTATTTAATGCCATTTTATCCAGGTTAGTATCAACCTCAGATGACAAGGCACTCTGTGTTGCTGTCAAGTTTCTTTTTGTATTCATTCTCTTCAGCTCTAGATCGATGAATTCATAACTGATGAAAAACAAAAAATTTAAAACATTTGCCACAAAAAAAGCTAAGGTAAATCTTGTTTAGGTCTAGTAGACACAAATATAGTAATACTTCCTGTAAATACAAACCTTAAATTGTACAATGTGGTAAGAACTTTTTTAGCCTAACATATTGAATGTAAGAACACAACAATATGAATTTTAAAATGTTAGGCCTATATATCTCAGAGTAAAACTAAAACCCTTAAAAAGGTACAATATATTTTATGTTTTATGTGAAAATAAAATAGTAGATAATTTAAGATAAAAATGGTGGGCTTTTTTTGGGTTAAGGAGAATCACTAATCTCTTAAGAGATGGCAGGGCTTAACATACATCAAAATAAATTAATGGTACTTTTTTTTTAATTTTAAAGTTGCTATGAATATTGACACAAGCTTTAAACTTAAGATTAATTAATTATTATTATAAAATAATTTTAACATAAATACCTAATATCAATGAGGAGCATATTGCAATTTTTTTTAAATCTGTAACAGTAACTAGATTTACAATCTACATATCAATATTGGAAGCTATGATTTAAGAAGAATAAAACTCAAGCTTTTTATGAGATCTAGATATTTTAACTGTAATGGACACAATTGAGAATAATCTCAAAATTGTACAAAGGGCCATTAAATATCTTTAAAAATCATGTAACATGTTATTAAAATACATATGGTTATGAAAATCTGTTTGGTTTATGTTAGACTTTACTAAAGATTGGATGTAATTGATGTTTTTAGTATTTTCGGTAGCTAAGAAATTTTTTTAAATAAAGTTGAAAACAATTGAATAGTTTACATTTTTATCAAAGAAATTATAGGCCCTAAACAAAAATGGATAAACTTTAAATGTAGCCTTACAAAGTGACTACTCTGAAAAAGATTTTCCCCCAAGTGCTATCTGGTCGGCAAAGATGCAAAACGCAGTTGCGCTTCGGGCGGGTCGTCAGGGGTTGAGGGTTTATAGTATATAGTATAACTAGCAAAGAGTTCTAGTCTTTAAGTTAGCATAAAATATTTTTTTTAAATCTGTTTTAATAGCCTATTTAAATCTACTGTTTAAGTATTTATCGTGTAAATCCCTGTCCCATTAAGACAACACATAGGCCTAAATAGCGACCATTTAGATGACAAGAAAAAACAGGTAATTGTAGAGCTATGTTATTAGGCTAAATCTTAGTTATTTTCAGACTTCAGTTTTTACTTTTTATTATTTTTACAGTCGCTTTACATGTTTTTTACAACAATAATGTATTAATGATGGAGGGATTCTCATCAACTCTGTCATGTCCATTGAGTCAATTGCATCGATCTACTACTGTATTAAATCAATTAATGTATTAATGTAATATTATAAAGGTAAAGGCCTAGATCAATATCTAGATAGAAGTAGAAGTCTGGGCACGGTAGCTGTAAGGATGAGAGAAGATGCTGAAGTGAGTGGAATAGTCTCACACTCAATTTTGAATACAGATGAGATACTAAAAATATACTTAGGGCCTAGATTTTAAATGTAGAGTAGATTTAGATCTAGAATCTAGTAAATTTACATGGTACACAGAGTGATCATTACAGTATCATTACACATTACACAGTATTACACATAACTATTTACACTTTACAGTAATTCAAACAATTTGAGTAATCAGTAGGCCTAATCTAATTGTTTTACTAATTAGTAAATTACGTAAAATCGGCAGAGACTAGTCTAGTAAGTACTAAGAACTAGATCTACTAAGTAGATCTAGAGTCTAGATCTAGATTCTAGTTCTAGTAATGTGAAAAAAAAATTAAAAAGTGACTCATTAAATTTAAAATTTTAGAAGGGCCTAGGGGAGGCTAGCCTAAATAAAACTAGATCTAGATTTCTAGTCTAATTTTACTAATTATTAAATTAATACTAATTATTTCACATTTTTAGAAGGATTTATGTTTTGAAAGTTACAAAAATGTTTCAAAGTTTCATTAATGTAGATCTAGATCTACCTGTTTTTAAACAATCTTATTAAAACTTTTTAGTAATAAATAAAGACGCGATGTTTTCATCAGATGCCGCCAAGCTCATTTACTTTAGCAGCCATCTTGTTTAATTTTTTTTTTGTCAAATTTACAGGGGAAACCACTCTAACTTACAGATGGCAGCAAATCTTGCTTGCAAACACTGCTGTGTTCCGTAGCATAGGAACAATGAATTACTAGGGTTGCCAGGTGTCCAGTTTTGAACTGGACAGCCAAGTATTTGAGCAGACTGTCCAGGATAAAATAAATATAAATACTGGACAAGTATATGAATAATACTCTGTTACCCCCCTTCTTCTGCTTTGCGGCATACCTGAGTGTGAAAAGGGAAGGATGGAAAGGTGTCCAGTATTTTCGGAAATGTTATCTGGCAACCCTATGAATTAGCATTGTTACTAACTAACCAGTAACCGGCATCCTAGGGGCAGAGGCGTAGCGAGGGCGGGGGGTGCGGACCGCACCGGGTGACACCATTTAGGAGGGGTGACACCAAAGTAAAAAAATAGCAAAAAATACAGAAGAAAAGAGCCTTTTTGTCAGATCTATTAGTGATTAATTAATCACCTATGTAGGCCGACACAAACACACACACGCAACACACACATAAATATATATATATATATATATATATATATATATATATATATATATATATATATATATATATATACTTTTTTCTTGGGGGGGGGGGGTGACGCACTGGGTGACACCCAACTAAGCGACGCCACTGCCTAGGGGTGACACCAAAACTAGGTTTTTAGTTCATTTTAATGAGAAAGCTTGCCGTATCCTGTTGGTTTAGTAGCCTATTAGTTATACACAAGATTAGGCTTAGGCACAGGGTGACACCATAAAATCATTAAAATGTATGGGCGAAACACAAAGTGCATTTAATAATAATAATAATTCATCATATGTAGTTGTTGGAGTTAGGGGTGGCACCCTTACCTTAGTAAACTACCATACCAGGTGGCACTCGACCTAGTGACGCCACTAATGTGTCTAATAAGCTGCTGGTGGATTTGTCACTAATGGATTGGTAAAGGGAAGAATGATTACGAATCAAATGAATACGCAATGGTCAATCTTGTGGCACAAAGAAAGGGGTCATCGTGAGCCATTTATTTACCATAGGCATACCAGTAAGTGTTCATAAAATGCAGGATGGAAAACTTAAAATAGCAGTCCATTTGTTGGTTGAAATGCTATAAGCAGCAGAACTAATGGTAAAATTGGAAATATGTTTGTGATTATTTCTTTTATCTTTGTTGTATGAAACAGAACAGTGTATGGCTTAGATGTTAAATAAACAACAATGCTTACCTACAAGTGTAGTGTTATTTCTTTGTATGCTTTTCAATGTTTTGACTTTTTTTTTGGACACTGACACACTCAGGCCTCTCCTTTAAGTTAATGCACTATTAAGTTGCTTGGTTACTTATGAATATAAGTAAGGAATCCTCTGCTAATTTAGTAATTATCTAAATATATATTTAGACAAATTGCTTGATGAAGTCAAAGCTTTGGATTTCATTTAATGTTACTGGTTAATGTATTCTTGAAAATTGGTTATTCGCTCTGTTGTATTTATTCAGAGAAATTGGTTCCAATAGGTGAGGTTAACATTGTTAACAAGGTGCTGAGAACTGAGATTGCAATAGTTGCCTTCTACAAAGTTATTGATCAAGTACAATGACATAGGCCTACTTTGTTTCATATTGTTAAACCTTAATAGTGATCTAAAATCAAGGGTTCTAATATCATTCTCTTTAATGGGCAGCTTTTTAAAATTAACTATAAAAATGGTTTTAATCGATCTTTATTTTTAAGCATTCATTAAGTAAACCTGAGATGATTTGAATAAACCAATGACATTTCAACTCTCTCTAATTCACATACAAATGAGACATTTATTTGGACAAACGAGACATTTATTTGACAAATGTTGCATTTCAGCTTGTATTGGTCTTTGGGTAAACAATCAACTGTCTTCTGGATAAATATACATTCATACATCAATGATTTACAACTAAATCAACTACTTGTAGACACTTATTTACAATACATACATTTTTAACATTGGAAATTAAATTTGACAACATTAGGCTGACATTGATCAAGTTAACAATTTTAATGGCCTCTCTCTTGAGTTAGAATACTGACAAGATGGCTTCAATTTTTGTAACTTGAAAGTGAAAAATCTGTTTGCCACACAACTGTTTTTCATTTTATTCATTTTTTTAAAAGTAGAAATAACTGACAACAGGTCAAAAGCATAAGCCTATTATAAGTAAGTAATCAGTTATATGATTTTTCTGTATTTATGTGTTTGCTGATACTATTTAATGAGTGCTTGACATCATAAGTGAGTTAATTTATGGCGTGTTAAATGAGCACTGCGAGAAAATTTCTTAAGACACAAGTCACACTCATGCAGTTTAACTCCTAAGTGAGTTTTTCTGTGTTTCCTTAAGCAGCCCATGGAAGACAGCTGTTTAAGACACACATCACATTCATATTTAAGTCCAGCGTGAATATTTGCATGAGAATCTAAGCTACTTTTGTAAGTAAACTTCTTATGACAAACCCCACACTCATATGGTTTATCTTTCAAGTGGATTTTTTTGTGGGAAGTTAGATTAACTTTAGCAGGGAACTTTTTGTGACACACATCACACTCATATCGTTTCTCTCCTGTGTGAGTAGTTTTATGATATTCTAAACCACTGCTACCAACAAATGATTTATGACACACATCACATTTATGTGGTTTCTCACCTGAATGAGTAGTTTTATGACATATTAAACCACTCAGTCGAGAAAACTTTCTAAAACAAACATCACATTCATGCGGTTTTTCATTAAAGTGAGTTGTTTTGTGATATAATAAGCCACTCAATCGGGTAAATAGCTTGTTACATACATCACACTCATGAAGATTCTCCCCTGTATGAAGTTTACTATGTCTGCTTAAGCAAGTCTTAGAAGAAAACTTTTTGTGGCATACACCACATTCTTGTTTACGTCCTGTGTGGATATCTGCGTGCTCTGCTAAGCTACCTTTGGTTGCAAATTTTTTTAGACATACTCCACACTCAAATGGCCTCTCTCCTAGATGAACTCTATGATGAGAATATAAATTACGTCTAGCCGGAAACCTTTTGTGACACACTTCACACTCATAAGGTCTCTCTCCTGTATGAACAACTCTATGGTACGCTAACCCACTGCTAACAGCAAAGCTCTTATGGCATATTTCACACTTGTATGGTTTTTCTCCTGAGTGACTGGTTCTATGTGCAGATAAGCCACCACTGCGAGCAAACGTTTTAGGGCATAATTCACATTTGTATGGTTTTTCTCCTGTATGGGTTCTTTTATGTCTGGCTAAAGTATTACTGAAACTAAACGTTTTGAGACATATATCACACTCATGTGGTTTCTCTCCAGTGTGAATTTTTTTATGCTGGTACAAATTACCAGCTCCAGGAAATCTTTTAAAGCACAAATCACACTCATATGGCTTTTCTATTATATAATTTGTATTTACCTGATTTACTGATTGTTTATTGGAAAAGCTAAGTTGTTTTGATGTTGAATCTATAGCTCGAGGGTCTTCACTGTTTTGATTTTCAATTAAATCAAATGGTTTTTTATCTTCAGATGTTGGTGATACACTTTGTTTTGCCTCTTCATTACTTGAGAATTCAGTTAAAACTTCAGGCTTAATGTCCTCAAATATCTCACGTTTAATCAAAATTTCACTTAATAAAGTTGCATTTCCTTCTTTGTTCAACTCTGAGAGTTGTGTATCTCCTAAAGCTGAATGATCTGTTGATTTATCATGCTGCCCTATAGACAAACCGTCAATGGTATTTGTATGCATTGAGGTGAGCTCTGATAGATCACTGAACATCTCTGTTTTTATGTCTTGAAAATGTGCATTTATGCTCGATGTGACTGAAGGAGTGAGCTTAACTTTTAAAACATACGGTGTTGGGTTTTTGCCAATTGATCGCAATGGTAATGAATCTTGACTGGCATTGACGGTTGTTGAATTTTCCGCTACAACTCCAGTTTCGATGTTCTCACTGTTTGAAAATCCAAATTTATTATTTGCTTTCTTGTCAGCCAATGTTGATAATGCAATATTTTTTTCAACAGTTTCAGAGGTTGTATCTTCAGGTGGGACATCTAGTTCAGTATCATCACAGACCTCAAGTTTAATCACAATATCATTGTAAGGCAATGTTGTGCTTCCTTCTTTATCCATTATGTGCAGGTCTGGATGTATTGATAAGTTTAAGACTGGAGAAAAAAATAAAATTTATTAATCTATATATATAAAAAGCAATGTATGTGTGTGTGTGTGTCTGTGTGTGTGTCTTTTATGCATTACCACACCTCTTATCACATCGCAGTGAAACTTCGGGAAGTTGTTGAGAATATTCCTGGGGGAGGTTTCTGCGGGAAAAAAAATTCAAATTCGCAGGGGCGGCGCCCAGGCAGGGCACGATTTGTTTTTTCTCTATATACAATATATAAAAATAAAAGTCTATTTTGATTTTTTTCTCTATACACGGTATATAAAAAATAAAACTCGGATGCGGTTCATCCGAGTGCCATGAAACTTTAGGGAGTATATGAGAATACTCCCGAGAATATTTCTGCGAAAAAGAAAACTAATGTTTCTTATGGGCGGCGCCATATAGGGTAAAACTTTCGTCAATACACGGTTTGGCGCCCAGAGTTTTAGAGCGACTATGTTGGCACTTGGCATCCGTTAATCGAGCTTCCTGCATAGCGAGTAAGGGGTACTACTATATTCAGCGGTAAAACTACAACAGGCTTCTAAAAATAACTTTGTAACGCGAGGAAATCCTTCTGTAGATTTTCGTCACCTTGCCAAAGATGAAAAGATAACTTTTTGAATATGAGGAGCCTACTGTAGAGTTTCGTCACTTTGCGAATGATGCAATAAGCATCTATTATTAGACAATCCAGTCAGAAATTGAGATCGAGCATCTAATAATAGACCATTAGTAACGCTAGCATATTGCATCAGTCACACTGATGTTTAAAACACGTCAAATACTTTTTTTACATGTTAAAGAAAAAAATCCTGTTCATTTGTGTCACTTTAGCGAATGATGAAATCTACATCATTATTAACATGATGCTATTTGGCACGATGGCGCCTGTTAGTTTTAAGGAGCCAGGGGCCGTACGTGGCGCCTATGCGGTAGTGTAATCGATGGGAGGTGCTCCTGAGAGCGCCACCCTACGTCCCTGACACATGGGTGGTAACCGAAGTGTGTTCTACCTGATTATTTCGGTGAGTAATTTATGTACACATAAGTTTTCACGCGGTAGTGTAGGTAAACCAGTGTCCCGGTATTTATAATCCAAGCGCAGGCATTGTTTACATTTAAATAACTCACTTTTAGAAAACAAGGTTACGCGTCTTAGAATATAGGATTGGTAACTTGGCAACGTATGGATGAAACCCTCCTTCTATCCCCGTGGCAACGCGCGGGCACAGGTACGCTAGTTAGTAAATAAAAAGACAAATAAATTTACATTACCATACAAGTAAACTATATAGGCCTAGGCATAGTCAACTTACATAAAAAGTTTTATTTTCAATATCATCAAACATTCCTATAGCAAATTTTGGTAATCTATCGTTTTAGGTACGTAAAATTGCCCGCGACAAGTAATGTTAAAAACAGGCGACTCCTTAAATTTTAATAATAATCATTTCACATTTTAAGGAGTATTTATGTTTTGAAAAATACAAAAATGTTTCCTTGTTTCATTTAGAAATCTATGTACCTGTTTTTAAACAATTGAAAAAAAACTTTTTAGTAATAAATGAAGACTAGTGATGTTTTCATCAGATGCAACCATGCTCATTTACTATAGAGTCCTTGCAAACACGTGACCTAAATCACGTGATACCTACGCCCGCCGCCACAGTGGTGTACATCAGACGTAAACACAATCAGCTGTTCACCAGCGCTGGACGTGTTCACCAGCGCTGGACGTGTTCACCGTATGTAAAGAATCGCGCCCGCAGAAAAGGAAAAATATGTTTAAAAACTTGAACTCTTAGGAATTGAAGATCCTTATACAGTTATTGACAGTTTCGTGGATAATATAAATATGTGGCCGAAATTTCTAAATAAAAATACTGTTAGTAATACCGTTTGCGCTTAGAGTTTAAGTAGACGAATCTGATCAAATGCAGTAATATATTATAGGTTATCTACTGTAGCAAACGTGAGACCACTTAACTTCTACAAAACCCACACTTCAACGACTAATATAATCCATGGGTAATAACCAATCTGGGTAGCATGTTATACAATTTAAGACCCTTATAATCCAGCAGGGAAGTGATCAGACATTAATACTGATGTTCAACCCTCATGCTGGCTGCCCCCACCTGAATCTAGCCCACAATAAAACCAAAGAGGAGTCTGCCCTGCCCTCCCCTGAAAATGTCTCACCTCCGTGATACCCAGCCCCACAGAGATAGTATTTCTTATATAATTTTGACCCTCAGGGCCCAGCAGGGAGAACAAAGGGGAAAGTCCCACTGCTCTCCCCTCAACATTTCTCACCTCGATGTCATGTTATGTCATTTATAGCACACATGGCTTATCAGGGGAAAGCATTAAGGCATTAAGAATCTTAACTCTGGACAGCTACACACTAGTATACTAGCTACACACTAGGTGACTACTATAAACTACTAGACTGTAGGCCCTATGTAGACCTGCAATCGTATCAATTGTAGACTGGGTCCATTGTTATTATTCTAAACCATCTCACTTATAATGTTTCTAGTTTGATTTGTTTCTTTTATAAACAGTGGATTTTTAAAAAATTAGCCTAATCATTAACCAAATAATAATAATGTGGTTATTTGTTGTTGGCTGGTATGATCTAGATTGTACTACTAGGCTACAAAAACTTAGTAGACCAATTACTATATATGAATTTGAATTTAATTAAACTCAGTCCAGTATCAGATACATATTGCTGTAAAAAGACAACAAAGTAGGTAGGCCTTAGTAATTTATTAAAGCCTTCTACTACAGTAATATCAACTACATGCTTGTATAAAGTTTTTACAATTTAATTTAAGTAGCAGATTCTAGATCTAAGTCTAGTCATACAATCTATTTCAATTTCAGAAAATTTCGTTTGCTAAAAAAATCATTAGATTATAGAGCGAGATTTTAGATCTTAGAGACAATTAAATCATAATGCTTTATTAGGCCTATTATGACTACTTTTGATTTATTATGGGTGTATTTTGAATCGAATGTAGATCTAAATTTTGTAATTAAATTTAAGTAAAGAAGTAGATTCTAGATTCTATGTCTACCCAGCGGAGTCAGTCACCCTAAATCCAGAATCTAGATCTGTGGTCCGAATTTTGTTTACGCCATGTTTAGAGCTAGATTCTAGATCTAGATACTAGATATTAAAACACTATTATTAGGCCTACTATTAGATCTTATTCTTCTTATTATTACTTTTGACTTTGTCTTTTATTAATAGTTATCTTTTATAATTAAAATGAAGTTTATTATTTTACTGTCCTTACCTGAAACAAAGTATCGAGAACTGCATTTGATCAGATTCGTCTACTTAAACTCTAAACGCAAACAGTATTACTAACAGTATTTTTATTTAGAAATTTTGGCCACATATTTATATTATCCACGAGACTGTCAATAACTGTATAAGGATCTTCAATTCCTAAGAGTTCAAGTTTTTTAACGTATTTTTCCTTTTCCGCGGGTGCGGTTCTTTTCATACAGTGAACGCGTCCAGCGCTGGTGAACACGTCCAGCGCTGGTGAACAGCTGATTGTGTTTACGTCTGGTGTACACCACTGTGGTGGCGGGCGTAGGTATCACGAACGGACGTGACGTCATATGAAAGGACTCTATAGTAATAGTATATACTATATAGTCACTATACTATAGATAGGAATGTTGGGATATTTTTCCTAATTACCATAGAATGATAAAATGTACACAGATTAATCCTATAATATACCCCATTGATAAAAATACCAAATTTATCATTCTAGGCCTAATAGTTTTTTTATATGAATTTTTAAAGTTATGTATTAAACCTGTTATATATCACTGTAACATCGGATTTAATTGTGTGATTGGCTTTAGGCTTGCATACCACTGCTGCTATTCGAGATATAATTATAAAACTTTGCACATTAGTGCTAGAGAGTGTGGGCAATAGAAATATGAAAGTAAAATCAAAATTTGATGAAGGATAATTAGAACTAATCAAGTCAAATTAAAGTGAGGGGTGCTGTTCTATATAGGTCAATATGCAGACTGAAAGTCTATGTTTTTTTTTTAATATTAAAATTGAAACTTTGCTAGAGAGTGGGGGCAATAGAAATATAGAAAAAAATTATATTAAGTATGACTGCATATAATTAAAAAGTCCTATGAAAGGGTGTTGCACCCTTTTATAGTAATTATAGTGACTGCAACGGACGTATGTCCAGAATGTTACTATAATAGATAGGATACATTTTGGTTATTGATACTGAAGCATGTAATAAGAAGAATGCTGAAAAATAAAACTAGGGATGGTGTGTTAAAGCACTCAACTACTAACATGCAAGTCTTAAGCTCAGATCTCAGACGAGTCTGTCTGTGCAGGGTGCAGCATCCACCAAGCTCAGATGAGTACCTGACCCAAGGGAAAGTAAAGATAGCTTGGCAGAGAGCTAACCACACCATCACTTCATGTGCATGGGTCAAGAAACAGATAAACTCTACTTCAGCTGCTTTATGGATGATGGATTGACAGGTCCAAAAGGGAAACTACTTTAATATACTAGGGCCTTTATAAGACCCTATTGATATTTTGGTACAACTAAATTACTAATCAATAGAAAAACCTTAAATTCTTGTAAAAGTTTATTAAGCTAAGTGTTAATTTGTACCAAATCAGAAGTTACAGCTTCCCTGTCTATCTGCTTATATGAATATATATATTGGCAACATGCAGTGATTTAAATCCGTATTGTTTGTTGTTGTTTGTTTTTTGTTACTTTTTATTATTAAATGTAAAAATTGTATCCTAAATTATTATGAATAATAATTATCATGCCTTTTTCATGTCATTCTAAATTCACTGCCTTATTAATTAGTACCCCCCCCCCCATGTCAATTGCTGCACCTTTTGTTAATTATTTACTAATGTCATAAGCATAATTATTACAAATAATTAAATAAGTTTATCACCAAGCTTCTTTACTTATCATAACCAATAATAGGCCCAGACTTACTTTATCAATCGATACATATAGTATATAGCATTAGTTATACTAAGAAATAGGCCTATAACTTATTTATAGTATAAAGTATAATAGTATATTAAAGGCTATATATATTAGCCTTAAATCTAAGTAAGTAGGTATGTGTGAAATGCTTAACACTATTTAATGTAAGCCTAAGCTTCTTGCCTGTCGGGTTTTAATAGATAACGTGATCAACGTATTTTATCTAGTTTTAACAGTGCCACCCACAATTTAAATTCTTTCCAACTTCGAAAACTACGTCATTGGCATTAGTGCGCGTATTTTATCGATAATAGGTAATGCGGTGCTAAACCGACGCCATGGCGTTGTCAAGGCCGAAGCGCTAGCTCGGGGATTTGACATGTATGATAACTCGTAAGCAGAAGTAGTAAGTGCCATAAAACCGTTATTATAATAATATTTGTTTATTTAATGGACACTTACAACTAATGGCAAGACACTTATAAAGGGTTTAATACGTAAACTTATTTAAAATGTGACAGCACCGTACGGGACATGTTCGCGAGATAAACTCATTAGAATCGTGCGATCGATTTCGGCTTAAAGATTGTCATAATGGCGGTAATTTTCTAATTGAAACATATAATACGACTACACTAGAATATCTATATCGAATATTTCTAAAAACTCGATTCCAACAGTGAGATTCGGCATTCTTCGGAAAAGGGCGAGTTTTTATAAAGACTGCATCGAAAAGTCCGGATGTTGAATACCGAATCGAAACAGCGGAAGTCGGAATGCCTACTATAGACTCTATAGAGTGTAACTAAACTATAGCAGCCATCTTGTTTAAGTTTTATTTCGTTAAACTTATGGGAGACTCAGGGGAAGCCATTTAATTTTAATTTAAAAGGCTGCTTTTTATATATATAGCAAATCTTGCTCTTTATAATTAATAATTAATTATTGAAAGTAGGCTTTCCGACTTCCGCTGTTTCGATTCGGTATTCCACATCCGGACTTTTTGATGCAGACTTTTAAAAAATCTCGCCATTTTCCGAAGAATGCCGAATCTCACTGTTGGAATCGAGTTTTTAGAAATATTCGATATAGATATTCTAGTGTAGTCGTATTATATGTTTCAATTAGAAAATTACCGCCATTATGACAATCTTAAAGCCGAAATCGATCGCACGATTCTAATGAGTTTATCTCGCGAACATGTCCCGTACGGTGCTGTCACATTTTAAATAAGTTTATGTATTAAACACATTATAAGTGTCGTGCCATTAGTTGTAAGTGTCCATTAAATAAACAAATATTATTATAATAACGGTTTTATGGCACTTACTACTTCTGTTTACGAGTTATCATACATGTCAAATCCCCGAGCTAGCGCTTCGGCCTTGACAACGCCATGGCGTCGGTTTAGCACCGCATTACCTATTATCGATAAAATACGCGCACTAATGCCAAAAATGACGTAGTTTTCGAAGTTGGAAAGAATTTAATTGTGGGTGGCACTGTTAAAACTAGATAAAATACAATGATCAAGTTATCTATTAAAAACGACTGGCAAGAAGCTTAGGCTTACATTAACTAGTGTCAAGCATTTCACACATACCTACTTAGATCTAGTACTTAGTACTTAGATTTAGAATTTAAGGCTTAGTCTTTAGTTATACTTAATTTAAATTAAGTTAATACTAAATTATACTTTATACTATAAATAATAAATAAGTTATAGGCCTATTTCTTAGTATAACTAATGCTATATTTTTTATATATGTATCGATTGATAAAGTAAGTCTGGGCCTATTATTGGTTATGATAAGTAAAGAAGCTTGGTGATAAACTTAATTAATTATTTGTGATAATTATGCCTATGACATTAGTAAATACTCTAGTAAATAGTAAATAATAAACAAAAGGCGCAGCAATTGACATGGGGGGGGGGGGCACTAATTAATAAGGCAGTGAATTTAGAATGACACGAAAAAGGCATGATATTTATTATTCATAATAATTTAGGATACAATTTTTACATTTAATTTTTAATAATAAAAAGTAACAAAAAACAAATAACAAACATTACGTATTTAAATCACAGCATATTGCCAATATATTCATATAAGCAGATAGACAGGGAAGCTGTAACTTCTGATGTGGTACAACTTACTTAACACTTAATAAACTTTTACAAGAATTTAAGGTTTTTCTATTGATTAGTTGTACCAAAATAATAATATCAATAGGGCCTGAAAAAGACCCTAGTATATTAAAGTAGTTTCCCTTTTGGGACCTGTCAATCCATCATCCATAGAGCAGCTGAAGTAGAGTTTATCTGTTTCTTGACCACTGAACATAAAGTTATGGTGTGGTTAGCTCTCTGCCAAGCTATCTTTACTTTCCCTTGTGTCAGGTACTCATCTGAGCTAGGTGGATGCTGCGCGCTGCACAGACAGACTTGTCTGAGATCTGAGCTTAAGACTTGCATGTTAGTAGTTGAGTGCTTTACCACACCATCCCTAGTTTTATTTTTCAGCATTCTTCTTATTACATGCTTCAGTATCAATCACCAAATTTATCCTATCTGTTATAGTAGCATTCTGGACATACGTCTGTTGCAGTCACTATAATTACTATAAAAGGGTGCAACACCCTTTCATAGGACTTTTTAATTAGATGCAGTCATACTTAATCTAGTTTTTTTCTATATTTCTATTGCCCCCACCCTCTAGCAAAGTTTCAATTTTAATATTAAAAAAAAAAACATAGACTTTCAGTCTGCATATTGACCTATATAGAACAGCACCCCTCACTTTAATTTGACCTGATTAGTTCTAATTATCCTTCATCAAATTTTGATTTTACTTTCATATTTCTATTGCCCACACTCTCTAGCACTAATGTGCAAAGTTTTATAATTTTATCTCAAATAGCAGCAGTGGTATGCAAGCCTAAAGCCAATCACACAATTATATCCGATGTTACAGTGATATATAACAAGTTTAATACATAACTTTAAAAATTCATATAAAAAAAACTATTAGGCCTAGAATGATAAATTTGGTATTTTTATCAATGGGGTATATTATAGGATTAATCTGTGTACATTTTATCATTCTATGATAATTAGGAAAAATATCCCAACATTCCTATATTGAAAGCCTTGACAATAGGCCGTTCGAATTCGCAGCTTCCGGGTTTGTTGTTTTGAAGCCATCTCACGGCTCATGCGCTTACCAAAAATGGCGACCAGTTTCGCTTTCACTAATGGGTAGAGCGATAAAACTAATGATTACGAAGCCATCGTTAATTTAAGAAATCGGAACTATCCGTTTCTATTTAAGTCTGTTATTTAAGAATTGTCGGATCTACTTTTGGCCTAATTCCTTTGTTTGTCTCGCAAGCGGCGCCTTAGTGAAAGTAGCTCTATGAATTCTTGTCTTTTATATCAAATAACTCTTACATATCGCTTCCAGATGCAAACCAGCTTATGTCAGATGTAAACTTTAAAGTATTAATTTTACACACATTACCATTAACTGGTAATAATTTGGCGTGTTAATGAGATATGTGCGTGGGAAAACGATCACCCCCCAATAATGCCATTTTATTATAATCTTGCTTAGTGAAAACGAGGCGCGGGAAAATGTGTGCTGCGCAAGAATCCAATCATTTGGCTAGATTTATGACTGTTTTTTTATGTCACACCTAAAAATAGAATGTTTACGCTTTCTTCATTGATGATCGTTTTCATTATTTTTTAAACTGAAAGTATGAATTATTAGTTAGATTTCAGGTTTTGTAACTTGGTATACTTACCCTTTATCAAAATTAAAAGCATAGCATGCTGATTGTGAACAAATATAGTCATAAAACACAGAAATATAAAGTTACAAACAATGCGATGTCAGGATGTGCCACACCCGGGCCACACCCCCTCAAGAAAACACGTGTTTATTAAGCTGTTTATGTCACTTTACACCAGTAATTAAAATTAATTTTCAAATTTTTATCACTTATTGGGTAAGATTAAGCACATGTATACTGAAAATTAAAAAAAAAACAAAAGCAAATTCTGTTTTAATGAAGGTCACGGGTCAAGTTTTTTTTCCTTCTGTCAAGTTCATTGGAGGTTGCCACAGACTGACCTGACTTTGGAATTTTTTTTCAGTAATAATGACTTTACACAGAAAGTTAAAATATGCTAAATTAGCTTAGTTTACTAGTGTTCTAGCTATTATTGATACATTTTTAATAAAAAAAATCATTCTGTAATTCTCATCAAAAAGCCTACCTTGACAACGAGGTAGGCTTAACTTTTTTGTACTTTACTAGTCGCGGCCGATTTTACGTACCTATACAATAAACTAGATTTACAAGTACTGAATCTAGAACTAGACTAACTACAAAAAAAATTACAGTATTTATTTTAGAATATTTCTGGATTATCTTGTTGTTTTAATAAAATTAGAAGTCCAATAAATAGTAATATCCGCATATTTTATTATGATATTTTAAAAATAATATGTACTTCCGGCCTGATCAATTTTTAATTTTTCAGACGAAAATTACTGTAACTCAGTGAAACTGCTGTTATTAAGTGAAATATTAAACTGAACAAATAGCTTATCTAATTATGTAATTCATGCGTATTGGACTTTTAAGGTTTCACGTGGACAGTTTTGTATTATTTTCTGCAATTAGCTATCTATAGCTTTCAAATCCCATTCAAATTTGTTATAAAAACGTGAACACCACTTCATTTGTCCCATGAACCTTCAGGTTCGAAAGGAAACTTTACTTATTTAATTTATTGCTCATACAAATTTGATCTAGCAGTAGTAAACTCATTACAACTGGGAGACAATTGTTAGTATGGTTTATCCTTATATTACATGACACGCATATTAATAGTTATGTGACAGGGGAGGTAAAATAGCTAGGATTATTTTTCAGAAAATATTAATTGAGTTATTCCCCTTTGCACACGGTTTTTTTTTTCAGTATCCTGAAGTAATAATATACGGAATTTTATAATTATAGGGAAATGGTTATAAAATGTATGAAACTAAATTTAATTAAATACAGTAGAACACTATGGATTTATTCTTCACCTTGCAGCAAAATTAATATGAAAAGCATGTTGTAGTTTTAGAATCATTTTATTAAGTTCATCAACTTTGTGGAATATATCTGAATTGAATAGAATGAATCTGGTTGTTGTTTTTTTTTAATTTCCATTGTATAATTTGTCAATAAAGTTTGTTTTTTTACTAGAAATTTTATAGTACAGGCCAATTTATTTACTGAAAATCTAAAAATACCATTATCTGGCTGATACAATACTAACCCATACAACTTATCCTTCAGCCTCATCCTCTCAAAAGATCTCACATGGGACATTCTTTTTTTGTTACCCTTCCTTTCTTATCTTCCTCGATAGAATTATTTGAGCACTTCCCCATTGATGTTAACTTGAGCTCTTTAATTTGATGGTTGCAATCGTTCTTATCCACCCCAAATACTATCTAACGAAGCTCAAGGTCATGCAACCAAATTGGAAACAAATTTCAGTTTTCCAGAAGTTTTTAAGGAGGAAAAAGGTGAAGGTTATGGCAAAAAAAATACAGCTTTTTGTAATAGCACTAAAATTGAGGGTTTCAATTAATTTTAACGCCATTATACCACATAATTTGACACATAATACTTAATTGTTTTGGATGGAATCCCTTCCAATGCTAAAATTAAGAATGAGGAAAAAGAAGAAACAAACAATTTATCAAAATAGATCAAATGTTCTTTTGCTGGATGATCAACTTCCCTTTCCCCACGTTTTACTTTATACACACACCATTTCTTTGTAGACTTCCATTTAAATGACCCCTTACGTTACAAATTCAAATGATGTATTCCTTTCTCTATTGGTTTTTTACACTTAAATAGTGCTTAATAAAAGGAACAAATAGTAATAGTTTTGACTGGCTGAATGTAAAGTTTATTGATGCCATATACATGAGTAATGTTATTGTAAAACAGAGTTAAAGGTTAAGGATAAATCAATTACGGCACGGAACATTAAAATTAGTGTTTTTTTTAAAGCTTCTTTGTACTTGTTCCTTTTAGAGATACCAATTTCATGAATTGCTGAAGTGTTTGCAACAGCCAACCATTTATAAAACAAATAACACTAATGTAATGTATTATTCAACCATAATTTACAACATGTGTACATTTTTTTTCTTAGGATGATCTATTTCATGAATAGATGAAGTTTTGTAATCACAATAATGCTTTGTATCATCCAACCATTAACACTACAAATCAAACTTATGACAACCATTCACAGCACATATCAAACTTATGCCAACCATTAACACCACAAATCAAACTTATGCCAATCATTTATAGCACGAATCAAACTTATGCCAACCATTTACAGCACAAATCAAACTTATGCCAACCAATATAGCACAAATCAAACTTATGCCAACCAATATAGCACCAATCAAACTTATGCCAACCATTTACAGCACAAATCAAACTTATGCCAACCATTTATAGTACGAATCAAACTTATGCCAACCAATATAGCACAAATCAAACTTATGCCAACCATTTACAGCACAAATCAAACTTATGCCAACCAATAAAGCACAAATCAAACTTATGCCAACCATTTACAGCACAAATCAAACTTATGCCAACCAATATAGCACAAATCAAACTTATGCCAACCAATTTAGCACAAATCAAACTTATGCCAACCAATATAGCACAAATCACACTGGTTTTGCCCTCTGTGACAACGTTCATGTGTGGTTAAAAAACTAAACTTAAACATTGAAGTGAATCTTTTCAGGCTTAAATAACTCTCATACAATTTAGCAACTGAATGAATTATTTTATGCCTGGTAAAACCAAGCTTTATTACATTTTTCTGTTGGAGCAAATTTTCTTTCTCAAATGTTTCATGACACACATTGCATTAAGTCATATTTTAAAATTAATTTTTAAAGAAATTAAATCTTTAACAAAAATACTTATTAGGTTGCAGAAAAAAACATGTTATTAGTCTTTGAAATGTGTAAACAAAAATTATTTATAATTGAAAAAAAAAACATGAAAAAAGTGATCCATAAATTAAGCAAATGCACGTTTAAGTTCCCCTCAACCGTCCTCAGGATATCGACTATCTAATAAAAGAGATGAAAATCTCTGAAACAGTTTTTCTTTTCATTCACACACAGAAAAACATCACAGAAAGTACATTTCGAAAATGGTCTGGACTGTATTTTCCTGATGGAGCACATCTTGCACCTTCCTCTGTTGTCCGCAAACACAGGCCAGTGAGACCCTAAGTTATGCTGCCTGACTTCAATAGGGACAGCGTAATTGTCTTTACCCTCTTTCTTTTCGGCCTCATCCATGGCTCTTTTTTCCTGTCTAAGTTTTTTTATTTTATCCTTGTAACGGATTATTGACTTACTCCTGATAACACGTCTTGAGTATCTATTACCCCTTAATTTATAACCAGATATTGTCACACTTTCACTCCGATCTTCCACGAAGTCATTACTATCCTCTATAAAGTCACTACTTTCCTCCATAAAGTCACTCCTTTCCCCAACAAAGTCATTCCTATCCTCCATAAAGTCACTCCTTTCCCCAATAAAGTCATTCCTATCCTCTATAAAGTCACTCCTGTCCTCTACCAAGTCAGTCCTATCCTCTAACACTTCACTTTTTACATCCATACTATTTTTATTTATTTCTTCTACAGCAGAGGGCTCTTCACCACCAGAAATAAAATAATTGTGTTCTGTCAAAAATGTTATTGGACAATTTGCAGCACTATCCTCAACAAAGTCACTCATTTCCTCTGCCATCTCAGTTTTTACTTCCATGATACTTCTACTGTCCTCTTCTATAGCATGGGATGTGTGTGCGAGCGAACCACAACCAGAACTAAAGTAACTGTGTTCATCCAAATAAGCCAATTGACTATTTGCAGCACTGTCACTCTTAATCCTATCTTCTACAAAGTCATTACTTTCATCTATTATCTCTCTCTTTACTTCCATACTTATTTCATTCTCCTCTTCATGACCAGGAATAATATTTTTGTGTTTCGATAATTGATTTTCTGCTACACTTGAATCACCCACAGGAGCAGTCATTTCACCTAACATTTCATTCCTCAGTAGCTGTGAATAGTCTGGTAAAGGCTGAACAGAGAAAGGGGTAAACATAAAGCTAACCATTTGGTCCCAGTGGCTGATACCATTCCTTCTATGGCGCTTGAAATCAGCCATCACTTTCCTCACCGCGGCGGCAACTCTCTGATAACCTGCACTGGCCAGATCATTTCGTGCTGTCAGGATCTTACTGACTTTTGTAACGGTAGCGCCGTTGGAATGATACATCTGGTGCGCCACATAACCGTTCAGAAGTGGGACTGATGGTTGTGAAAAACTCTTGAATAGTTTGGTAAAACTGCGGCTGGATGTATCAGTACTTCCTGTTTCCATGACAACAACAGTGTAAGCACTGAGCTTTACAGTAAAGCTGAAACACTTCAAAAAGGTATTTGAAGCTTTTTGTCTAAATTCCCCAGGAGCTCTGAAAATAATAGTAAAATAAATCAAGAAAATTATAACAAGTTTGTTATCCCAATCAAAATGCTATTATTTTTTAACAATATTTTCCCATTAACCTAATATTGATAATTACTACATTGAACTACCTCAGGTCTCATCAAATTAGAACACAGAAGACCTAGAATTTTTAGAATCTAGAATATCATTTATTAATTATTATATATCAATCATATTAGATCCTCGACCTCATGAAGATCTAGATTTATCTAAATATCTCCAATGATAATTATATTATGATAATCAAAACATAATGATAAATGTTTTTAGTTTTAAAAAAAAAGACTAAATGAATGAAATGATGTTTCAAGTCAATTAGGCCTATAGGGCCTATTAGTTTTTAATATTTTTAAAAATTTTTATTGGTAACTATCATTTTAGATACGTAAAATCGGCCGAGACTAGTAATGTGAAAAAGCGGACCCCTTAAAATCTTAAATTTGAGTAATTTTTTCACATTTTTAGGAGGATTTATTATTTTGAAAGCTACAAAAATGTTTCAAAGTTTCATTAATATTAAAAATTTATTAATGTACCTGTTTTTAAACAACTGTATTAGATTTAGATCTAGTATTAAAACTTTTCAGTAAAAAATGAAGACTAGATCTAGATATCTAGAAACTATTGTTATCCATAAAAATAAAATTAAATTATTCCCTAAGCCTACTAATAGATATATTTTTGGTAATCTATCGTTTTAGGTACGTAAAATCGCCCGCGACTAGTAATGTGAAAAACAGGTGACTCCTTACATTTTAATAATTATTTCACATTTTGAGGAGGATTTATGTTTTGAAAAATACAAAAATGTTTCCTTGTTTCATTTATGTACCTGTTTTTAAACAATTGAATTAAAACTTTTCAGTAATAAATGAACACCAGCGATGTTTCCAACAGATGCAACCATGCTCATTTACTATAGCAGCCATCTTGTTAAAGTTTTATTTTTATAGACATATAGCGCAAGATTCAGGCGGAAGTCACTCTATTTTACAAATGGCTGCTGTTTATATAGCAAATCTTGCTTGCAGACACCGCTGTTTAAAGTTAATTTCTGGCCTATATTGATATATTAAAATATATTTAGCCATTGATTTAGGTTTATTATTCATTTATCTATAATATTTGACACAAACATATCACAATACACTTCTATTACAGCCTTGACAATGACGTAACGTTTTCGTACATTAATAGCCGCGGGCGATTTTACGTACCCAAAACGATAGATTACCATATTTTTTCCCACGTTTTCTTTAACTTGCTTTCTCTGTTTGTTTTTTTATTTGTTTGTTTGTCTTTCCAATCCAATCTTGGGATCGAAATTTCTGGCACTTCCCAGTTAGCTAGCGCGCTGAAATTTTCAGGGAAGCTTTGTTTTGGATGACAATTGAATATTCTATTGTTTTTATTACTAAATTAATCCATGGAAACATTTTATTGATCATTTTAGACCGCTATATAATTGTACCAAAAAACGTGGGGAAAAAGGGACATTACCCAGTAACTGTAATTTGATGAAAACAAGGTTCGGCACTCCCCCTCTTTTTGCTTACTGAGTAGTTGTCACGCTGTGTTTGTCTACAAACAACCATAACGTAACAACTGGTGGCCAGTATGGGGGAGACGATATGGTCGAGTGGTTGGGCACACGATTGCTATCCCACTCGAAACGGGTTCAAATCTATGTGTTCTAGTCAGTAACGTATTCACACAACGTGTTTTTTACGAGTTGTCTTTTTACGAGTTGTCTTCGTTTACCCAAAAAAAAAGTGAAAAGATAAAATCGATAGCAAGATTTTAATGCAAACAAACAGACAAACACTAAAAAGTAGAAAATAATAATCATTAAAAAAGTTTTTAAAAAACCACGTTTTCTGATTGAACTAAAAAGTAGAAAATAAATACTATAATCACAATAATGCAAGCGATCACTCTACTATAAGCGATCAAAAACGTGGGGCGCCGTGATTTTTCTTACAGTTTCTTATACTGTTGACTCTCTACAAGCTCCCTAATAAAAGTCAATAGTATTATCTAATCAATAGTAATATAACTTTTACTTCGGCGCCCCACGTTTTTGATCGCTTATAGTAGAGTGATCGCTTGCATTATTGTGATTATAGTATTTATTTTCTACTTTTTAGTTCAATCAGAAAACGTGGTTTTTTAAAAACTTTTTTAATGATTATTATTTAATACTGTACCTATCCTACTCTTTAACTTTTATTTTTTAGATATCTAGACTAGATCTAGTAGACTTTTAACTTTTATTTAACTACAGGCCTAGGTAGATACTAGTAGATAGTAGAGCCCAGGTCTATTAGGGTAATAATAAATTATTCGCAGAATTTTGTATAATAGCCACCATTTATTATAATTTTAACAGTTAAAAAGTTCTGCTAACACTAGGCAGCCATCTTGCTGAAAATATTATTAGAGTAATCTACCTTTGCACTCGGATATTTTTTTACTTCTCTTGATAGGGCCTAGCCTAGCGCGTTTACTGTTAGCCTACTAATTTACAGTTAGGCCTAGGCTACGACATGTAGATCTAGATGTAGGTCTAGAGTCTAGATCTATGTATACTGTATAGTATAAGTGTATAGGGGTCATCCATTATGACGTGACTTTCTTTACTCTTTACCTCCCCCCTCCCCTCCGTCACACGTCGTCACAAAAAGCCAGATCCCCCCGCCCCCCCCCCCTAAAATGACGTCACACCTCAGCCTTCAAACCCCCCCCCCCCCCTATAAATTGCAGTTGAAATTTTTTTTAAAATGCTAAATTTTTCCAAAATCTTGTCTGAACTCTGTCAAAATAGAATATTTTAATCAATTGTTATTACAATTTATTAAAACAGTTTTCTTAAAAGCAAAATAACGTCTAAAACTCGTTTCCTAACATTGCTTTTTAATAATGTAAAAGTTTGACATCGCACCATCTGAACCTCCCCCCCCCCCCTCATCACACACCGTCACAAAATTGTGGAACCCCCCCCCCCCCCCCCATACGTCATTTATGAACGACCCCAAAGGCCTACTATACATAACATATCGGGGGGGGGGGGGGGCACCCAGCAAATAAGTAAATATGTCAGCAAAAAGTTTATTCCCTATTCATGTCACAATTAGTGCTTTTAGGCCTATTTATAATTTATTTGCCAGTAGGCATTATAGTAACATTTTCACGTACAAAGAAAATAGGAATTGATACATAATATGAATGATACTGATACAGCGGACAGCAATTGTATAATACTGTTTTGACCTAGGCTAACTAAGGTATAATGCCCAATGAACCTTGAAATAATTTACGCCGACAATAGAAGGGCGTTAACTAGATTAATATATAGTAATATAGATTCTAAGAAAAAATTTCAAAAGCAAAATCTGGCCCTCATTTGATGTTTGGATTTTCTATTAAAAGTCAATTGGTTGTTTTTTTTTTTTTGCAATTAAAAAATACATCAGATAAATAGATCGATTATGAAAGATATTTTGAAAGTGCAATAGGGCTAAACTTGATTGTGCCCCCCCCCCTACTTTGCCACTAACACCAATAACATCCAATATCGACCTATTTGATTTTTCTAATCACAATAGATAACTTTCTTTTGCAATGTAATTTAATAAATGTGCATTGAGGTAAACTCTTATTTTAATTTTTTGCTACTTGAAATAAAAACCAAAAACATTTTTAATTTTTTTTTTAGTGTTGTAGTATTTATTTTTATTTTCAATTTAATATTTTTAAAAATTATTACTTCAATAAATTGACATAAGCTGATGTTTTTTTGTTTTTTTTTTAAAATTATATTTACTTGATCCTTATATTGCAACCAAATGAAAAGATTGAAACATTTATCGCAATTGTAGGTATCAATCAGTTTTCTTTATTTTATTCACATGTGTAAGCCTACATAATGATACTTTGCTTGAAGCTTCAGTTGATTTTAATAGGATGCTATTTAAAAATATTTTCATGGACTAAAACAAAATGCTCAAAATGCCAGATTGGGAATAACATGTAAGGAAAGATAAGATTTAATTCTTATTGATCCAATGCCATTTTAAGTTTAAGTAATTTTCTTTTAATAAATGTTTTGTTAATGTTATGTTTTTTTGACTAATAATTAATAATGACAACACAATAGTTGGACATCATCTCTACACACAAAAAAATGTCAACACATATTTTTGTGTTAAGCTATCTTTGTAATGCATACTGTCTTTTATTTTCTGTGTTAAACCATATTCAAATTTTATAACATGTTCATCAAATTTGCATCTAAATATATATAGGCCTACATTATCCAATAAGACGGCATCAGCTCTGATGGGTATCCGACTTGAGTTATGGAAAGTAATGGCAGCTAGGCGTAGTGGTAATGACACTTTCCCTTCATATGCTGAGGTTATTGAAATAGGCAAACTCTACATCAATAAGCATTAAGAAAACATAATTTAACAGAACAAACATAGTCTAACAGAACACATAGTCAGGTATTAGGTCTGTGTGAATATATTTATGAGAAATTAAGCTAAATTGAAAAGAAAATCTACATTATTTCGCTTTAATTAAACCATAAATATTTTACAAGACTGCATATTATACTTGACTCCTCGTTATTTATAAGGAATCTAACAATTTGTCATAGTCCTGCCTGTTAAACATTATTCATTGTTTTAAGCTTTTCTGTCATAAGCTCATTAATTTGTAATGCAAGCCTGCTGTTTTCTGTCTGTAACCTAGTTGTCTCACTCTTGGCAGTTTCAACCTGACTCCTTAATTCCCTTATAACTTGTAAATGATGGTCAGACACAACTTGAAATTTTTTCTGTAATTTAGTATTTTGAATTCTTAAAATCATTAACTCCTTAGTTTTTTCATCCATGCCTTTAACTTTTCCATCATCATTGCCAGTATGTTGCTTTGATCGTTGATTCTTATTTCTTTCGAGTACATACTTTGCTTTCCAATTCTGTATCTGCAGACTTTTCCTTCTCAATTGTCCTTTCAAATATTGAAATTTTAAAACTCTGCCTGCTGTTGTTTCCTCTCTAAGTTTTTTAATCCTCTCCTTATACATGCGTATTGACTGATTTCTAATAACACATCTTGAACACTTATTACCCCTTAATCTATAACCAGTTAATGTCTCACTCTGTTTTATTTTCTCTACAAAATCTCTTTTATCTTTAAAAAATGCACTCTTTTCCATTACCGGCTCATGTTTTACCTCAGCACTAATTTTATTTTCCACTTCTGTAGAATTGGGCACTTCTGTACACACATCACCACCAGAAATAAAATAACTGTGTTCGTCCAAAAATGTTAACTGACCGTCCTCCATACTTGGAATACCCCCTGTCATTTCACTAGACATTTCATCCTTCAATAACTTTGAATAGTCTGGTAAGGGCTGAGCAGAGAAAGGAGTATGCATGAAGCTAACCAGTTTATCCCAACATCTGTTACCCGTTCTTCTATCGCGCTTGATCACAGACATTAATTTCCTAACTGCATTTGCAACTCTCCGATAACCTGCTATATCATTTTCACAGACCAGGTTATTTTGTACCGACAAATTATTACTAACTTTTACCATAGGTGCACCGTTGGATTGATACACCTGGTATGCCACATGACCATTCAGAAGTGGGACTGAAGGTTCAGAAAATTCCTTCAGTAGGTTAAGATAATTTTCACTGCACTTTTTAGTACGTTCTGTTTCCATAATAATTTTTTAAAGTACTGAACTTTACAGCAAAGCTGCAACACTTCAAGAAGTTTTTTGAAGCTCTTAGTGAATTTGCAAAGGACTCTGAAAATAAAAGGCATAGAATTAATCCAAAAAAATATACAACACCAGATGCATAGCTAGTGGAGGGGTGGGGCAGACGCTCAGCATGCCGTCCTTAATGGGCACCAAACAGGATGGAAAAACAATATCTGAGCTTTAGAGAGTGATTAAACTGTCTTCTACATCACTAGTGTGATTCCAACAAAAATTGTTACAGGATAGTGACTGGTAAGAAGAACCACCAACTTCTCCAAATGTGAATGGGGGAGGTCGTTTTTTGCTAACTTGATTATCTATTGGCTATATGAATACAGGAAGGGACATAAAATTAATAGTTTTCCCCTGAATGTGTTGCTACGCTTCTGCATAACACAAATATTTTTAAAACAAATGTATTCCTTATATTATAACTATAATAGGTCTATATAAATATAACCATAATTGAAAATCACTCCAACTGTGGTAAGTAAACAACAGCTTGTCGACCTGACACTTGCATTTAGGGGGTCGTCCATAAATGACATCACACTCGTAGGGGGGTCCGTAATTTTGTGACGATGGGGGAGGGAGGGGGGGGGGGTTCAAATGGTGCGACGTCACACTTTTGCATTATAATAAAGCAATGTTAGAGAACGAATTTTAGACGTTATTTTTTTTATTTCTTGTTTAAGCAAATTGTTCTAATAAATTGTAATAGAAATTGATTAAAATACTCTATTTTGACAGAGTTCAGACAAGATTTTGGAAAAATATCGATGTTTTGAAAAAAATTCAAATGCAGTTTTGAGGGGGGTTGTAGGCTGAGGTGTGACATCTTTTTAGGGGGGGGGGGGGTCTGGCTTTTTGTGACGATGTGTGACGAAAAAAATCTGCATGTTATGGTTATGTGTTAAATCTAGTAATTGTTAGGCTAAATACTAAATAATAGCCTAATAATAATAATATTATTATAATAGGGCCTATATATTAGTGCAAGGCTCTATATACTATATACATATACTGTAGGCCTATATACTATATAGTATATAAGGGTAATCTATCGTTTTGGGTACGTAAAATCGCCCGCGACTTGTAATGTGAAAACCAGGTGACTCCTTAAATTTTAATAATTATTTCACATTTTGAGGAGGATTTATATTTTTTAAAATACAAAAATGTTTCCTTGTTTCATTTATGTACCTGTTTTTAAAGAATTGAATTAAAACTTTTCAGTAATAAATAAAGACTAGCGATGTTTCCAACAGATGCAACCATGCTCATTTACTATAGCAGCCATCTTGTTTAAGTTTTATTTTTATAAGCTTTTAGCGCCAGATCAGGGGGAAGCCACTCTATTTTACAAATGGCTGCTGTTTATATAGCAAATCTTGCTCTCAGACACTGCTGTTTAAAGTTAATTTCTGGCCTATATCGATATATTTAGCCATTGATTTAGGTTTATTATTCATTTATCTATAATATTTGATACAAACATATGACAATATACTCCTATTAAAGCCTTGACAATGAGGTAACGTTTTCGTACATTAATAGCCGCGGGCGATTTTACGTACCCAAAACGATAGATTACCTATATAATATATAAGTAATAGTAGTCTATTACTATTTGGGCCTAATAATAGATCTATAAAAATATAACTAGCAAAACTTGCTCTTAAACACTGCTGTTAATTTCTGGCTTATCCTGATATAAAGTAATAGATCTAGTATGAAAGCCATTTGGCATTTAGGGCTTTTAGGCCTAAGGCCTAGTAATACTAATGAAATGATTTTAAAAATTTTATTTTAACTTGGTCATGAGTCACCTTTCTTTCACTTTACCTAGCCTCTGCCGATTTTACGGACCTAAAGCGATAGATTACCAAATAAAATTAATTATTTAAACTGTACAGCTTGTATAGACCAACACTTCTAAATAATATTTAGCTTAATAAATTACAATGATCTAAATCTAGACTAGATGATACAAACACGCAACAGCCATCTTTTAGTAGTTTCAAAAATTATTATTAGAGTTGTCTGCCTTCTCACTAGATCTAGATAGGGAGGGGGGGGGATACATTTTCCTGGGAGTGGGGGTGACATTGGTAAAAGTATAACTTTTCTAAATAATTTTTTTTGAGGGGTGAGGCGGAGGTGGTAGACATTTTTCTGCTAAAGAGATGACTACAAGAAATTGTATTAGAGCGTAGTGCAAATGACGTCATACTAACGGCGTTAATGTTGTAGATAGGATGACTGACCTGAGGGCTGATTGTCTTTAAATATAAAAATAATGAGCAACATTTTAAGCAACTAAAAATAAATGTGTGGGTCGCTAGACTCTAAATCATGCACTGAATACCTTTACTAGAATTTAAGAAGCTACCCATGCTTTTATTTTTAGTTATTTAAACGAGCCGACCCGCGGCGTACAGCCGCTATTTAGTTGTTTTATTTTCTACTTTTCAGTAATTCATAATTTGTGAATTCGACAGTACCAATGCTGCCACTGAAAATATTTGCTTTAAAACACTATCAGACTGATAGTGTTTTAATCAGATGGTCGTTAAGGACGATAACCCCCTCCTTTCCCCCAACCCCACTCCCTTGAAAGCAAACTCCTCTTCGTTACCTCCCCTAAGTTTAAAATCGTTTCAAACTACATTATCTGCCCCTAATAGCCGTCACTAAACCCGGCTCTACGATAGTAAACATTTAGCATGAACCACAGCTCACCAGACTTCCTAGAACAGGAAGAGAGGGGACTACAAGGCGCGCTTACAGCTTGTCTTCTAACGTCTCCAAGAAGAGAATTATATATATAGATAGATAGTAGGCGTGCTGTATGCATCTGATGACAACATTAATTTTGTATACTTGACACCTTGGAAAAACATTGGAGAATTTACCGTCAAAACTAATAGTTAAACTATGTTGTATCCAGCTAAAATAATAAAATATTAGTGAGAGAGGGCTGACACCTGTAGTAAACGCACAGGGGAACATCCAACAGTGGGACGCCACTAACTAAACTCAATTTTTTTTTAATTGCTCATGATTCATTTAGATCTTTTTTATGCTTTTAATTTAGCAAAACTATCAATAAGTTTATTGAGATCCATTTTAGGGGTCATCCATAAATGACGTCACGCTTTTTTGACGATTTTTACCTCCACCCCTCCCCTCCGTCACAAAAGCCAGACCCCTTCCCTAAAATGACGTTACACATCAGCATACAACCCCCCCCCCCCCCTCAAAATTGCAGTTGAATTTTTCTTAAAACATCGATATTTCTCCAAAATCTTGTCTAAACTCTGCCAAAATAGAGTATTTTAATCATTTCCTATTGCAATTTATCAAAACAGTTTTCTAAAACGCGAAATAACATCTAAAATTCGTTTCCTAACATTGCTTTTTTAAAATGCAAAAGTGTGACGTTGAATCATCTGAACCCCCCCCCCCCCCCCCGTCACAAAATTACTGACCCCCCTCCCCCCCCTATGAATGTGACGTCATTTATGGACGACCCCTTAGCTGCTTCTGTGAGTTTGATACTTAGAATGGTCAACCTACTGACACATGGGCACATCTACAATTTGTTTATTAACAAATTAACATCATCATAATGAGATTTAAAAATCTCCTTCCTGACCACCATGGAATGTTAAATATGTAAACTAGCATAACCATCCACGTTGCAGCAATCTAGTCTTACATACCTGGGTAGCAAAACAATTTTTAATGGTTTCATCAAAGTGTTACCAATTGTGTATTTGTAGTATTGTGTCGCTGTTTGCTAAAACTGAGATAGTTAAAATTTAAAAAAAACTCCACTGCTTTTTTTTTTTTGGGATCCTTGTTGTGAGGGCACGGGTTTGTACACACTATTCATTACAAGTTTAAGTCAGTTTTATTTATTTTATTTCAATTTTTTTGTGATTGTAAGTTTTAGTTAATTAAAAATATTATTTTGGGTTAAATTAAAACACTTTAGCAGCAGATTGGAAGTAGCATTTAAAGACAGGTTCTGATTATATCATGTTCTTTATTGATATGTTATACTGTATTGACTCATTGTAATGAATATACAATAATTAGAACATCATCTCCAAATTAATCCAAAACAATTCACATATTTTTAGTGTATATCTTTATAATTATAGTGCAAACTGACTGTCTCACCTTTTTAATGCATATTAATAAACTTTATATCTAATTTAAGAACATGATCATCCCACCAAAATATATATATATATTTGGTCCATATTACTAAAAACATCAGCACTAAAACATAAAACACATGTAAAAATATAGCCTCTCACTCACATACAATTTGGCAAAGAGAAATCAGATTTGTGTGCATACATTTATGACAAGTAAGGCTAAATTAAAAAATAAACAATTTTATTGTATAACATCCTTGCATTATTTAAATGTCCCACCAAAATGTGTAAATTACAGGCATCACTCATGAGGCCTATCTATAGGTTCCTTTTCACTTTGTTGTGGTTAACAAACTAGTACATACACATTCTTTAAATGTATACCTGTGTACTTCAATTTTATAAATTATCTTAAAATACACACAAAGAAACTCTTTCTAGATAGTTTAAACAAAAACATATTACATGACTGCATATTCATGTTGGCTCCACATTTTCAACTGTATTTTTAGAATCTAAGAGCTTGTGATTGTCCTCCACCAACTTGCTAATCTCTGCCTCATAAATAAGGTTCTTAGCTATAAGCTTCTTCTGTTCTGTCATGAGCTCTTCAAACTGTGCTGCATGCTTGCTGCTTTCTGTTTGTAGTAATGTCTGTAACTTACTTGTCTCATTCTTGGCAGATTCAACCTGGGTCCTTAATTCCTTTATGACTTGTAAATGATGGTCAGATACAACTTGAAATTTTTTCTGTAATTTAGTATTTTGAATTCTTAAAATCATTAACTCCTTAGTTTTTTCATCCATGCCTTTAACTTTTCCATCATCATTGCCAGTATGTTGTTTTGATCGTTGATTCTTATTTCTTTCGAGTACATACTTTGCTTTCCAATTCTGTATCTGCTGACTTTTCCTTCTCAATTGTCCTTTCAAATATTGAAATTTTAAAACTCTGCCTGCTGTTGTTTCCTCTCTAAGTTTTTTAATCCTCTCCTTATACATGCGTATTGACTGATTTCTAATAACACATCTTGAACACTTATTACCCCTTAATCTATAACCAGCTACCATCTCACTTTGTTTCATTTTCTCTACAATATCTCTTTTATCTTTAAAAAAACCACTCTTTTCCATTACCGGCTCATGTTTTACCTCAGCACTAATTTTATTTTCCACTTCTGTAGAATTGGGCACTTCTGTATACACATCACCACCAGAAATAAAATAACTGTGTTCATCCAAAAATGTTAACTGACCGTCCTCCATACTTGGAATACCCCCTGTCATTTCACTAGACATTTCATCCTTCAATAACTTTGAATAATCTGGTAAGGGCTGAACATAAAAAGGCGTTTGCATTATATTAACTATTTTATTCCAGCTTTTGACTCCTAACCTTCTAACATGTTTGATCTCAGATAACAACCTTGCTACTGCATTTCCAACTTTTCTATACCCAACTGGATCATTTTCAACTGCCAAATTTTTGTGTGCAATTAATTGGTTAATAATTTTTCGCCTACTAGGGCCGTTACAATAATTTATCCAGTGTGCCACATATCCATTCAAGAGTGGAATTGATGGTTCCGAAAAACTCTTAAGCAGCTCTACATAGCTGTAGCTGGGTAGCTTAGAAGTTTCCATAAAAATGTTTAAAATAGTGTAAGCTATTAATGAAAATTGCTAATTCTTGAAAAAAGTGAATTTGAGCTCTTGTAAAATTTACCAAAATTCTGAAAACAAGATAAAAGGTAAGATTACAAAAAAAGTTAAGTTCGAACAAAATATAAGTAATCTAAACAATTATGTTTTTAATGACTTCCACAGTGGTGGGAAAGTCAAGTTTCAGTAAACAAATAATCTTCAATGTTAAAATTTTGGTCACTCTGTTTGTTGTAAATATAGAATCTATACATTTCCAGGTCAAATTATTTTCAAAGTATTGATATTGCCAGGCTACTGTAATAAATATATTACTTCACCACACATCACAGATATTACTGTACAATTTTTAAAATTTAGTTTCTTAAATTTTAAAAACATCAAATACGTCCAATCTTTAGTAAAGTCCAACAAAAACCACACGATAGTTCTTATACCATATCTATTTTAATAATGGTGCACACAATTTATAAAATTATAAAATGGAAACTGTGACAAGATTCCCTCTTTTTTAAAATTAACAATTAGATATCTACGTCTGTTAACAGAGTAGTAGACAGTAACAATAGTAGACAACTAAAAAGCACTTATTTTTTTCACTATGAGTAGGTCCTATAACACATAGATCTAGCCAGATCTACTCTGAATTGGTTAACACTTGGAAAAAGTACTTAAATTAAAGTTTCAGATAATTTTTTTTTAAATGAATTAATGAATTAAGGACTTAAGACCTGTATATTCTTCAATTAATTAATTAGGAAAAGTGGTTTAATGCCATAAAATTATTCATTAAAATTGTTGACAAATAGATCTAGATATCTTGTTAAAATATTGATTATTTCTAAAAGGACGTTTTGCATAAAACATAAAAATAAAGTAAGTAGCTATAGCCGAAAACGTGAGTGCGACCGCAGCGTATGGCATGATGCAGATCGGAACTGAACTCTAGCTCTAAATAATATTTCAACTTTATTTAGTATTTAGTTAGGCCTAAAAACTGAATTTGTTTTTCTCAATCTCAAAATAGTAGAAGATAGATTCTAGATCTAGATCTAGATTTCTAGTAGTCTAGATCTAAAAGTCTAGATTCTAGAATATTCTAGATCTAGATCTAATTCTTGATTTAATTTAAGGCTTAAGGGATGAGTCTTCTGAGATCTAGAATAGATCTTCTAGTCGGGTGAGTAAAATTTGTTTTGCCAGTTGCTATGGGTGATTAATGATTATCGTCCGAGACTTGAAATGTGAAAAAAGGTGACGCATTAATAAATTTCACATTTTTAGGAGGATTTATGTTTTGAAAGTCACAAAAATGTTTCAAAGTTTCATTAATTCATTGATGTACCTGTTTTTAAACAATTGTATTAAAACTTTTCAGTAATAAAATAAATAAAGACTAGCGATGCTTTCATCAGATGCAATCAAGCTCATTTACTTTAGCAGCCATCTTGTTTCTTTTTTTTTTTTGGTTAGAGATTCAGGGGAAACCACTCTAGCTTACAGATGGCAGCTTTTTTATATAGCAAATCTAGCTCGCAAACACTGCTGTTTAAAGTTAATTTCTGGCCTATATACTATATTGAATAATAATAATAAAATTTCACGTGTTCTGTTGTTTTATTTTACTGTAATTAACCATTGTTAGCTATTGATTATTATTATTTTTTAATGAGAATTTGAAAATATCATCAGTAGAGGTGTCGGCGAGAGTGGGGGCACCATGTTCTATGGTTGCTCTTGACATAATGGGAAATAACTAAACTAGGTAGAATTTGCCTAAAAGATTAATTGAGTTGTTTCCACTTACAAAAAAATTAGAAATATAAATGTAACAATTAGCAACATTTTTAGCGGTAAACATTACTAATCACTATTTAAAACTGAACATTTACATCTGTGTGTACGAGATGTATTTTTTTTTTTATTGCTGGCTAATGGATTTCAGCCGTATAATTACAGATGACCCAAAGTGTCTTAAAATTTACCAAATCCTGAACATGGAAACAGTGAACATTATCTAAGTCAGGGGTTCCCAACCTTTTTTACTCTAGAGCACATTCTAAAATATCGGTAGGGTGGCGGGCACCACCTATTTTAAATCGACAAACTCCTTCCAGAGGCGCAACGACCCTTCCCGTCACCCGGGAACAAAACTTTTGATTTGCACCCCCCCCCCCCTCAAACTTTCGATTTGCCTCCCCCCTTAAACTTTCGATTTGAACCCCCCCCCCCCTCCTCAAATTTTCGATTTGCACCCTCCCCCCTCCCCCTCAAACTTTCGATTTCCACCCCCTTCAACCTTTCAATAATGTTTATGAAAAAAATTCTGTCTCTGTCGAATAGTGAGAGGCGGGCACATACGAATCGTTCGGCGGGCACGGGGTTGGGAACCCCTGATCTAAGTCATTAAGACATGACGTCATTCCGTTTTACAGATTTAATTAAGGAACCCGAGCCACTCGAACTATCAAACCATAATGTGTCTATATTTAGATTCAGTGTAGTATATAATTACTTGGCAGGTCCTTTTCTCTAACAGTCTAACTCTACTCAGTCTACTGTTACAGTGTTAGAATCTGGTAGTTAAAACTGTTACAGTGGGATATTGTTTGTAAAACTAGCGAGTAAAAAGCACACTTACTTATAACTTAAGTAGACTAAGCTACTAAATCTGCTAAACCTAGGTTTAGAATCCTAAATCTAGATAAAGATATAATAAATAATATTAGAATATTAGATATAGATCTATCTATAGATTTCTAGATCTAGATTAGTAAAGTAACTTCTGATTATACAATCAACATTTAGAATATGATGTGGCTCTCTGCAGTGATAAAGTAGGGAATGAATATGTTGATCCACCTTTTGACATTGTTTTTCTACCTTCCTCAGACATTCACAAAAACCAGCTGTGAGATCTGACTTCAGACACACCAGGAAGGTAAACTTCAAGTGTGCAGAGCACACAATAAGGGACATGGCAACATTCAATGCATTGTTCTACAGCAGGGGTCTCCAAACTTTTCAGTCCGAGGGCCGCATTAACTATCTAATTTCAGTCTGGGGGCCAGTTTCTTCCAGGCATGTCGTGATTTTTCTGAGTAAAGTTCCTCAGCAATCTCCAACAAACGTTTATTTCCGTGGAAAAAAAGATCTTCGCGGGCCGGATGAGGGGACCTCGCGGGCCGCATCCGGCCTGCGGGCCGTAGTTTGGAGACCCCTGTTCTACAGCCACACCAAAAAAGCTGACCAAGACAATTTCATGGCTAAGTTCATTGTGGCCTCAACCAAAAAACCAAATAGAAAACAAACAAGCAATGAAAGAAATAAACGCCAACGGACAACATGTGAGACATCATTTTTTGTCAGTCATGAAGCAGACAAAAACGAGGATGCGAGTCTGTAAGGATTTTTTCTTAAAAGTGCGGGTTATTGGACGCTCTCGTGTTGAAAACATTGCTAAAAACATACAGCTACATGGAGGAGTGTCAAAGGAAAAACGAGGTGGTGATCAAAAGGGCTTTAAGTATGGCCCCAAAAGAACTGCTGTACTTACTTTTTAAAAAGGGCTTAAAGGCAGGGAAAGCCATTACGTTACGTTACGTTTGCCTGTCGTCCCTACTGGGACATAGGCCGCTGACAAGAGCTTTCCAGGCGTCTCTGTCCAGGGATAGTCTCCAACTGTCCACAGGTGTATCCAATCTTCTTGGTGTCTTCTTCCAGGTCACGTCTCCAGGTCTTTCTTGGTCTGCCTCTCCTCCTCCTGCCCTGTGGATTACATGTGAGGGCCTGTCATATTATGCTGAATACAGGCTTCCTGAGTGTGTGGCCAATCCATTTCCATTTTCTCTGGAGTATCTCTACTTCAACTGGCAGTTGATTTGTCCGTCGTCAAAGAACATCATTTCTGATGGTTTTAGGCCAGCGAATTCGCAGGATCTTTAGGGAAAGCCATTACGGCAGACTTAAGTCAAAAAAAAATCTACTTGCCTTCTTTAATCACTTATATAAAGCAGCTATGGAAAATGTTTCTGACAGACACTACAGAAAACCAGTAGCGTAGCGAGGGGGGGGGGGACATATGTCCCCGGGCGCCGACCTTAGGGGGCGCCAAAATGGGTTGGAAAAATAAATAGAAAGGTTCAGGGGGTGCAAATCGAAAGTTTGAGGGGGGTGGGGTGTAAATGGAAATCTCGAGGGGGGGGGGGGGTGCGAATCGAAAGTTTGAGGGGGGGGGGGGTGCAAATCAAAATCTTGAGGGGGGGGGGGGGGTGCAAATCGAAAAGTTTGTCCCCGGGCGCCGGGAAGGGTCGCTACGCCTCTGCAGAAAACCACGTCCCCTATGAATTCTTCAGAAGGATATTCAAAACAGTCTTTAGAATTGGTTTTAGTTACCCCAAAAAAGATACATGCTCGTTCTATGAACGAGCGAGAAATCAGATAAAGGTAGAGACAGATCCATAAAAAAAACAGACATTAATAACTACCTTACGTGTTCACAAGACGAGGGCAAATGCTTTTTATGATCTCCTTAGTGAAAAAAAAAGAGGAACTAATGACTAAAGGTACACTGTTTTGACCATCAGCAAAATCAAGGGTTGCCTAAAGTCCCAGACCAGATAGCCTACTATAGTAAACAGTTATATATTTATAATTTCACTGTAGTTGAAGTAAATGACTTGGGCACCTTGAAGCCAGATAATGTATTTATTTATGTTTGGAGGGAGGATCAGTTTGCCAAAAATAGTTCATCCTGCTCCAGTGCTGTTTTTTATGCTCTCCAGAAGTCAAAAATGAATGGCATTGACTGTGTTCGCCTCGTGTCTGATGCTTGTGGTGGGCAGAACAAAACTAGCGTCATTATTCAGATGGCATCACACTGGCTAGTAACCCACGCTCCACCTGGGGTAAAAACTGTTGAGCTGTTGTTCCCGGTCAGAGGTCATTCCTTCCTGCCATATGACAGGGTATTTTGAGTTTTAGAAAAAAAATTAAAAAGAAAGAAAGTATTTATTCCCCAGAGGAATACCTGGACATTCAAAGAGATCAAGGCACTGTGAGATAGGTAGAGGAGAACTGGGGTATACTTGATTTAAACTCCTTATCTTATAAGACCTTGAAGAAACCTCTGCCAATAAAGATCCAAGAAAATAAGAGGTCTATAATTAAGCTTGTCAGAACATGCTGGAGATGACTGGGAAACTGTTGTTGCTGACACCATTCAAGCTGCCAATGGTGATATTGTTGAATGCGACTGCTAATAAGAATGTGACTGTCTTTGCGAGGATGACGCCTCCAATAATATTTAGACTTAATCAAAGCCAGAAAGCTCCCCCCACCTTCAGTACTTTGTAACTTATTTTCCCCAATAAAATTATCCCTGTGGATTTTTTTCCCAGGGTGTAAACTGTACACTTTTTGTTGCCATTATTTAATTTTAATAGTATGTTTTGTGCCGTCCTTTACCATACATGTTTACAGCTAGTTTTTTAAAATGATTCAATGACTGCTTTAAGTCTTATCAGTCATAATAATTTTATATTGTTGTTTAATTTCCCATAAACTAAGAAACTCTGATCGGCAGGCTAGATAGCACAGAAATAAGTTTAGACTGGTTAATAGAAATATGCAAATATTAGTGGTAAACACTTTACTATGAGGTGGGTAGACATGGATTACTGCCAGAGATTGAACTCTGCTTATTGTCTGTAAGAAATAAGCATTATAGCTACTTTTCAATTGCCAATAAACTACTTCCTTAACCTGCTAAGTATTTAAACCACTGTCAAAACCTGCTAAGTAAAAACTTTGTCTTTCATTATCAAAGTCTGAAATTTTCTTAAATTTTATTTTGTTTGTTCCAATTGACAGACCTAAAGGCATCCTTTCAGCATAGCTAAATCCCGAATCTGTAGCCAAACATTTAGTGACGAATTTAAAAAAGTGTATTTTTCTCAGAATCAGTCTTCAGCTACTTAGCAGGTTTTGCAAGTGGACTCCTCATATATATATATATATATATATATATATATATATATATATATATATATATATATATATATATATATATATATATATATATATATATATATATAGGCGCAAGAATAAGTCGTACGCCTCTTCATGATCTGGAGTACGGGACAAGGCCACATTTACAGTGCCTAGGACCTACAAAGACCTTAAAACGGCCCTGTCGGCTACTAAACTACTGCAGTGTTTCTTCCAGACTTTTTTCTCCGGGGGGGGGGGGCATTTGAAATTTTAGGGGGGGGGGGCGGTACAATTTCTTCGAGTGGGCGGACACTGTTAAAAGTATATATCTTATATATAAATTATATAAGTTTCGTTCGGAGGACGGTAGAGTTTTTTCGGGGGGGGGGGGGGGGAATAACTCTGAACTATTGAACATAGAAAACTGAACTATTTATTTAAGTTCTTAT